CCTCCCTCTTTTTTTTTTTTTTTTACTCCAGTGTCCATATATCAGACTAACTCACAGTGCTAACACTTATCATGAGTAGCTGTAGCCTTCAGCAAATGACAAGTTTTACCATTTGGTGCAGTAGATTTGGATTACAAAGGAAACTGTGGTATGCAGAACAGTCATAGAGTCATCAGTACAGAGCCTCAAGTTGTCCTGTTGGGTATGAGCTGACTTGTAGCTGTTAAATTTTACTTGGGGCCTGTGTACAGAATCAGTGTTTGGTGCTGTCCCACTCTAGACTTATGGATATGTCTTTAGTGAAAGGTCTACTATCTATCCTCCGCCTGCTCCCAGAACTGTAATTTGCTCCAAATTGAAGTCTGTGTCTCCATGGTTACCAGTCCCACACTGGGGTGGGAGGTGCTTATATTGTTGTCATGGAGACAGGGTTACTTAGTGTCCAAATTAACATAGTGTGTCCATTACAGCAATATACGTCTGTACTCAGCAAAGTGGATGTCATTGCTAGGAGTTTGTGTAAGGAAGTGTGTGAAGGTTTTCACCAGTTCTGCTGCTTTTACTTGTGGAAAAACTGATTTATATAAGTCATATGACCTTGTTTTCTCAAAGCCCAGGTTTCCTGCTGCAGAATAGATTGGGGTTTTTTTCTCGCCTTGTTGTTGGTGCTGGAAGTGCATGTGCATGCACAAGCGTGGGGTCCTCTGGCTCAGTATGCACGCTGTGTATTGGTAAACAAGCAGTTTGTTGCATGGGCATGTGGAAGAGTTCACAAGAAAACATTTTATTAACGTGACACTATGTACTTCCTTTCATCCTTTCTGTCTTTCTTTCTTATTTACTGTACTTGGGGTCTTGCCATTTTCATAAAACAAGCTCAGTTGAAATTAAAAATTGAACAAAAACAGAAGCAAAAGAGGAGTTGTGCATTAGAGCCAGCTGAGGGTCAGGCTCTTGTCAGAGTCCATAGAGAAGAGAATACCACAGGGTCATCTGAGCCGGCATCTGTATTCAGAGAGGACACTCTGAACTTTTAGGGCTTCTGGTCTTATCTCTGTTGTCAGCTATGAAATCCCGGCAGTACCTGCCCCCGCTGACCTCGAAGAAAGTTGCATGACAGCATTTGCTCAGTAAAAAAACAAAAAGAGTTGTGCAGCATGTTGGAGGCTGATGGTGGTTTTACCTTGGGAATGCATGTATTTGGTCAGCATGATCAAAGGAAGAAAAACAAATGACACACTCGCACTCACTCAGAATACTTTTCACACAATGCAAGTGATATTGCAGCTGTACTATTTGGGTAGAGTTTTCAGTGTGTGTACAGTTTTTCTTCCATTGTGAAGTTTTTAATCCCTCACCCGAATGCTGTCAAGTATTCTGAATATTTGAAACTAAAATTGTTGAAGTGCCACGCGTGAATTTCCTCAGTTAGATCTACTAGCATGTGGTAAAAGAATGCTGCTGTGTGAGTGGCCTGAGGTGGCAATGGTGTTCAGAGCTGCATCCCAGTGTGGTGGTTTTGTACAAAGGGTGTTATATTGTAAGTATTCCTCTGTGTTTGCTGATGGAGCCCATCTTTGTGTTTTTTCCCTGTACCCATATTGTAGCTGCGACTGTCTAACATCTCAATCTGTTTGAAATGTCTTCTTATCAATGTTGCGCTTACTGTTAATGTTTATGACTGTTGTTTGATTGTTTTTTTTTATACTGCTGCCATCTTGTTCGTCAATGTGCCGCTTGGCTCCAGTGGAGACACACACCAAAGCATCAAGATTCCATTCCACATTTAAGCGCCAAATAGATCTTTTTATTCATTACAGGCATTTAAAATCATTCTTCTGCAAACAGAATCTATGATGTAGCAATTACATATGAAATGAATAATTCATCGGTGCATATAGTCTTCTAAAAAGTAGTTTTACCCATAAGCAATGAATAACATATTCGGAACAACTGGTAAATGCCGTTAACATTCTGTATAGCTGCTTTCATGACTTTGGTCTTTGTGTGAAAGGCCAGTTTCTTGTCTTTGAGAATTGTTTGCTGTGTGTCTCCTGGTCTGTTTTGTCTCTGCTCACAAAAGCACTAATGTCTTGTTTTCAACCAATCGCTCATTGATAACACGGACCACACAAGAGTCCACGTTCCAGTAAGTAAAACTGTCCGTTCAGCTCTCTGAATCTCTCACTAACGCCTGCCTGATTTTCTTAAATGGGCATCCTGTGTAGTATTCTGTTCGTCCTCTGTCCTGTACCTCCAAACTCTCCAACCTTATTTGATTCCTCATTTTTTTGTATCTGTTCCACAGATTTCATTCTGCATCTTACTCATTTTGGTTATTAAAGTCGCACAATTCCTGGCTTGATTAATTTATCACCTAACATTGTCACTGAGCCAGTAAATTGCTTCATGTTGATATGAAATTGCTCTTTGTTAAGCAGCTTGAAAATCAAACCAAAGCACTTGCTGTGTACTGTGACATTCATTTTTCACCACAAACATTTTTATTGCTAATTTACATTAAATTAAACAAACGGGAACCTAGAAAATAGAATCCTAAGACCATGAAAACACATTTAAAACACTAATTTGAGTCAAATTTGCCTTCTGGTGAATACACAGCATGCAGACCAGTTGGATGTAGATACAATATGACTTTGTTGATAATGAATTGGCTGATTCTCCATATTGACGTGTTATGTTTTCTTTCTTTTCTCAGGGGAAGCCGGAGGAGGCGGCCCTACCTGTACAGGAAAAGAGCCATCCACCGCAGCCGACCTACCTACCACTGCTCCCTGGAGGAGGCCCAGGGCAGCATCAGGGAGGGCCGCCCACCCCCACCACTCAACCCTTCTAACTCTTTCATGTCTAGGAGAGAGAGAAGAAAAAGGATGACGATGTCAGTGTGGGAGCAGAGGACCAGCCAGCTGCGGAGACACCGCCACATGTCCAGCCGAGAGATCCCGTACAGCAGCACCAGCGAGGAGAAGGATGGGCCTCCTGGTGTAGCCCAGGCCCAGCACGGACATCCGCTGTCGTTGCACCGCAAGGCCATGCAGCACACACTGTCCGGGAGTTTGAAGCATCCGACAGACCCTCTGGCCTCCCCATCCAAGAACCAGGCTTCCTCTGTGTCTATGGATGTGCCCGTGAATGCTGCACTCTCTGGTGACATACCTGAACCTCCGATGTCAGTGCCAGAGTCAGGGAATCTTGGAAACATGCCTCTTTCTGATGCTTCTGTGTCTGTGACCATACCAGAGTCCCCTGAATCAGAGCCCGTCTCTGAGAGCAGAAAACTGGGTGTTAATCAGAGTCACAACACTGTCAATGAACGTCGGAGCCCCAGGTTGAATGATGAGCGCCAGCACAGGGCAGTGAAGAAGTTCAGACCACCAGATAACCTTGACACACTGAGCCCTGAGATGGGAGTTCATGGTGGGATCAGGGGCAGGAAGGAATTGCATCAAAGTCAGGGGCCATCTCTGGGGAATGGAAGCAACTTGCCGAGTGGCTCGGTCAGCAGAGAGAGGAGAAACCATGGGAAAACTGGGGAGAAGGAAGTGGAGATCAAAATGGAGGAAGAGGTGTCCAAACCTGAGGAGAGTGGGTGAGACAAACCAACATCTCCTACAAACTACTACATACTCCATACATAGTACATTCACTTGTGGAGTGACAATTTATTGACTATGGCTAGAGAAAAGTTTTTTCGGCCTTTGAATCATTAGGACACTTAATTGTAGATTAATTAGATTTGTTTCTCCTGCAAAGTCAACCACCAAAAAATGTCTATAAGAAATGAGTCTCACTGTTTTTCCTATAAATCTCATTGTGCTGTGATGATAAATGTGGTAGTGTGACTTCACTCTGCAGAGTATTACCCCATCACCCTCTTAATTTACACATCCGTACAACATTTGGTGTAGCTTCTCCAGCTTTGCGACCTAGACTGTAGATTCACTATCCAACTGTCTCAATCTGTGAGTATATCGCTGTCCTTTACACCTACAGACAGGGTGACAGGAGCGAGGGAGGGGACACTAACCCACCAGACAACCAGAGCCATGTTGGTGACCAGTATCCTGAGAAGCAGGAACAGTCGCTTCAGCGATCAGACCTGTGTCCACCTGCCATCCTGGAGGACATCAAAGATGAGAAGGAGACAGAGCAAGACCAGGACGAATCTCAGCTTAGCTCCAGTGTGATTATCGAGGTTTCCGAAGTTCAGTCATCTATGGAGCTCTCCACAATCACAGGTACTGGTACAACTGTTAGATTTTTTTCAAGTGCTGATTAGGAGACGTTTTTCATACTGGAGCTGGTAACACCGGGAGGCACTTTGTTAATGCATTTGATTGTTCATGACCTATGACATTTCTACATTTACTATTTTACACTTACCTCAAACAGGTTTCATATCAAGAAAGCAATAGAAATGATCAACAAGTGCTTATTAATGGGAACCCTTTTCGCATCTCAGTGGGTGAACACACCCCTGCTGAGCTGCCAGCACTGTTTCATTTTCAAACTGGAAAAAGTACCGCTACTCTTCTGGAAATGTCAATTTTATTCTAAACTCTTGCGCTAACTTTTATTTTTTTTGAATGAATGTGTAATGAGAAATAGGCCATGTAGTGGAGAGTCATTTTACAGCCACTACACCTAGTTTAAATTGTAGCCTCCAGAGTTCAGGCATTTTCAGAAGCAGTGAGTCATATCATCATTTAAGCCAGTCCCCATAGTTCACCATTTGGCTCACTGCTGCTTGACTCAGTCGATTCCCACCTGATATTTTCCAGATTAAAATCATCTTATTTAGGCCATCTTCTCATACTGTCCTAGTGAGAGGCATAGGACAGGACTTCATCTTCTTCTCTTGTCCTGTAGTCAACAGTAAAGACCCTGAACCCTGTAAATCAGAGAAAGAGGAGGCAGAAGAGACAAATCCTGTCAACGCTGTGACCCCAAACAGCATGTTCATCTTCAAACCTGACAACCCGTAAGTCACTACTAACCGTGCTTCTCACCGGACTATGTCCTTTCAGTAGCAACGACTCCTAGAGGTGTATTTCTTCATAATGTTGGGGTGATGAGGTAACAATGGTACTCTGGACTTAAACTGCCACCAGTATTTAAACATGTTCAGTCTTTTTTGGTAATGTTTTTTAACCCTGTGATCAGTTTAAGCCTGCAGTCTTGCTCTTACTAGATGTGGCATCTGATCTCTGGGTCACTTCTTCACTCTGACATCTGCTCTTCAGGGTGCGTCGAGCGTGTCACTATGTGGTGAACCTCAGGTACTTTGAAATGTGCATCCTGCTGGTCATAGCTGCTAGCAGCATAGCGCTGGCAGCTGAGGATCCCGTGGCCACCTCCTCTGACTGGAATAAGGTTTGTGCCTGTATGTGTAAGCTTATATGTATTTATCATCTGTGTGACACAGGGACAGCTGTAACATTCACTCATTAGAAACCAGAATTTTCTGCTACTGGTGCCCCAATAACCTTTGGTCTCGTAGCTCCCATCAGCTGCACCAAGCTGCAAAACGACAGTAAATACAAAAGACAACATTTCACTTTTCAAATGCAGTCAGAAAACCTGGGTGTTTACAGGAGCGAGCAAACTTGTTATCTTGTGTTGTATTACCATCATTTGTTTAATGCTGAAAATCAAGTTGAAAGTCTGAAATGAAACATCTGTAAATGTCATGAAATCAACACAAGTTAAAGGATTCCATTTATTACTTGCATCCTTTTTAATCCATTTTTAATCTTTTTCTCTGACTGATCTATCCCACACTCTGACTTCATAGGTTCTGCGTTATTTTGATTATGTGTTCACTGGAGTCTTCACATTTGAAATGATTATAAAGGTGAGTAACTGTGTAAAGATGATATGTCTTGTTGAACTCCAAACTATGGAGCCATAGAAACTGAGGCTCTGGAACTATAGTAAAAGTCCCTTTTGTGCGTTCCTGTACATTTAAACAAAAATCATGGTGATTGGGGTTAATTTGTCAGTTAACAGTTTAAAAGCTAAAGTTTGTTGTTGAGATACAGTTTTCACACATGATAAAACAAGGAGTTTCCAACTGTTTTGGCTTTTGGCTCTTAAAATTAAGCTTTGTCTGCTTGTGGCCCTTCATTTCTGGTTGCATACTATGTGTTTTCACTTGTTTTATTTCAGTAATTTATCTTGGGACTCCTGAGCCTCAGTTTGGGACCACTGCTTTATCTTAGTTTACAGTAACAGCTTTGTCAGAACTCAGCTCTTCAGGAGCTGGACTCTGTAATGTTCCAATGCTGAAGCAGAAATACCTAAGACTGCATCAATTCAAAGTTGGAAATGATCCTGGTGAAGCACATGTTCTCATAGCCCACTCTTGACTTGTCCTCAGATGATTGACCAGGGTCTGATCCTTCATGACGGTTCCTACTTCAGAGACCTGTGGAACATCCTAGACTTCATTGTGGTGGTGGGAGCACTGGTGGCCTTCGCCCTCACGTTAGTCACATGATGTGTTTTAATTGCTCACATTACCTAAACATACTATATGTGCGGGCATCGAAATGTCTATAAATCAACTGTATTTTGGCTTTGACACTGTAAATGAGTGTTTCATTTGACGTGTTCTGGCATAATGTAGTCCTCTCTTCCATTTTGTATATAACTGTTGCTATACATGTCCCTCTCTCCTGGTTTTGTCCGTCTGTGGATGGTGCCCCTGTGGGAATGACCAGCAGCAATGTGATGGGGTAAAGGCCACCAAATCTATCACTATTAGATATTCTCATGTTTAAATATGCAACATTCAGAGTGCAACTTAGGTAGAATGTGTAAATGCCCTTCAAAGATAGATGAAGAAGGTGGAAAAAAAGTTGAGGAATTCAAATACCTAAAAAATAATGATACTTGCTACGCTGCTGTGTGTGGTGCTCACAGTACGGTCTCTATTTTTGTGAACAGAAATAACAAAGGGCGGGACATTAAAACCATCAAATCTCTGAGAGTGCTGCGTGTCCTCAGACCACTGAAGACCATCAAGAGACTTCCTAAACTCAAGGTCAGAGATTTTTTGCATCTGTTGTTTTTGTTTTTCATGCTTGTTTTATTTTGTTATGAGCTAATTAATCAAAAGAGACAAAACTGACCAAGTGAAAGTTAAAATGACTAAGAGATGATACAAGTTACCTTATATGCTGTGCAATATGTGAACCTTTGGTTTGAAGTTGAAAACGCAAATTGGGTAATATTTTGACCTGAGCAAACATCATCCATCATGGCTACATTCATTTGGCTGATGTTGGGTGCATGGTAGGGAAGAGCTCAAGCCTGGAAGTATAATAGCACACACAGTTTTTCCATCCTCACCACTGTTATGTATCTAATAGTGTTGTTGTAATACCTGCAGTTTAGTTGTGTGTATGTTCATGAATTGTGTCCAAACACACACTGATGCCAACATACTATACTCTTTTATCCTTCATCGCGGTATGTTGCAGACCTGAGAGCAAAGACAAGTAGACAGGTGAGGTGATAAACCGTGAGCCATGACCACTTATGAGCATCAGGACATAAATGTTGTGATGTTGTTAGGGCTGAGACCCAAACATGACACGTCATCTGTCTACAGGGAGAACACAAGGATGAGAGGAGAGGAGATAAGAAATCACAAAAACTGAAATAGTCAGGAGCATGCAGAGACAGAAGGATAACACCATTCACTCAGAAATTATAACAGATGTACACCTATAATTTCATCTACTGAGAGGGGGAATAAAGGCATGTTGGGTAAACATGAACCTACCTAAAGGCTTTTGGTAATAGCTTTGCTTGTTTTCATCTACAAACTACTAATTGCGTGCTGTTTCTAATACTACTGAACATAGTAAAAGCCTGCTGCATTTCTTTAGAGTACGGTAATTTATCTTTCAAGCAAACATTTGGTGGCTGTGGCTCAGGAGGTAGAGTGGGTCCTCTCCTAACTGGATCGGTGGTCATTCATATCCCGGCTTCTCCAGTTCATATGTCAAAGCGTCCTTAGGGCAAGATGCTGAAAGTTGCTTCTGGTGGCTGTGCCATCAGTGTGTGAGTGTGAATGTTTGTGTATGTGAATGTAAAATAATGTAAAAGCATGGCTCATTGCATAGAAAGGGATTATACAAGTGTAAGACAATTTACATCGGTTTAATTTCACACCATTAGATATTTAAGTTTTCTCTTTTTGAAAATTCTTTTTCTTTTCAGTTTCAATAATGAGCTACAGTATAGATGACAAACATTAAGCATCACACTTTAGCTTTTGTACGGCAGTGAGTTTCTCACAAGCATTCATACACAGCAGAACAGTCCCTACTTGATGAAACTATAACTTTCATTCAATTATTTTTTATCCATTTCTCCAAGCAGAGAACAATATCTGACTGCTGCTTTGACTTTGCTCCTGCAGTATCTGAATTGCTGCTCCGACCCCCGTCCTCGAGCTCATTCCTGTTTTATTTCTGTTGTGTGGCCCTCTCTTCCAGGCGGTCTTTGACTGTGTGGTGACATCTCTGAAAAATGTCTTCAACATCCTGATTGTCTACAAACTTTTTATGTTCATCTTTGCCGTCATCGCTGTTCAGCTCTTCAAGGGGAAGTTTTTCTACTGTACCGACAGTTCAAAGGACACACAGAAGGACTGCCAGTAATGCTCATCTCTTGTCTTCTTGTCTCTTAGTTGCATCTTTTTGCCTTTTCTCTCTCTTTTCTCTTCTTGTATGTACAGTAATTCTTTTTTTGTGTTTGTCTTCTTCTTTCCTATCATTGTTCTGTCTTTCATCAGTCAATTCAGGAAATTCTTCCAAGTGCTGCTAAAACCTGATGCCAAATGTTAATAAAGCCATATAAAAGTGTTACAAGCTTGTCTTAAATTCTACTGTTTTTATCATGTCTTTATTTTCTGATGTACAGTACCTCTGTTGTCTGCTGTTGTAGGGGATACTACATTGACTATGGGAAGGACAAAAAGGAGGTGAAGCGAAGAGAATGGAAGAGGCACGATTTTCACTACGATAACGTCATCTGGGGTCTGCTCACCCTCTTCACTGTTTCCACTGGAGAGGGATGGCCTCAGTGAGTGTCTGACTAATGTGTCAGTGCTAATTCTAATGCTGGAGGAGGAAGCTTAAAAAGAGCTTTCTCTCACATCAGTTCCCATTCTTAGAGGGCATTAGTTTTCATGAGCATTGAGACCTTTTGACATCTGGCTTTTTCTTTGGTAATTGTCACATCTGACCTTTGATGAGGGAAATATAATAGATGTGATTAATTTAACAAAGATTTTTCCATTCTTTACCTCACAATAAGGTTACAACAATATTTCACTGACAGTGCTTGTGGGTTTTTACTGTTCTAATCTTCATTATTGGACTTCTGCTGTGGGGAAAAAACACTTAAATGATATCCCCTTCCAAATAGCCAAAATAACATTGGAGCCCCACCCAGGTGAGCATACACACAGGTAGCAAACCAACATAAAGTGTCTTGGTAAGGTGTTGAGCCACAAGCTTTACATGTCTCTGGACTCTACTGGAGGGGATGAACACCATTCTTCCAAAAGATAGTCCCTCGTGTGGTGTTTTGATGATGGTGGTGGTTCAAAATCTCCCATAGGTGTTCAGCTGGGTTGGGATCTGGTGACTGCAAAGGCCATAGCAATTCAAAATAGGAGTTTTCCTGCATGCAGCTTTTCTTCTTGGATGAAGTATGCAAGAGTTATGCTTTTTGTGAATGATTTTAAGCAGTTTATTGTATTTTCACCAGGTGTTGCCTTAAAAGATTGTATTTCTGTCTCACTGGGCACAGGGAATTTTTAACTTAGGTTGCTCATGATTTTATTAGCATGATTATTAGCATTGTGTCTTTGTTCTTTCAGGGTCCTGCAGCACTCAGTAGATGTGACAGAGGAGGACCGAGGTCCGAGCCATGGCAACAGAATGGAGATGTCAATCTTCTACGTCATCTACTTTGTTGTCTTTCCTTTCTTCTTTGTTAACATCTTTGTGGCTCTCATCATCATCACCTTCCAGGAACAAGGAGATAAGATGATGGAGGAGTGCAGCCTCGAGAAGAATGAGGTGAGAGCAAACGCCTGCTTTGTCTCTGTCTGTTTTCCTACAGTATGTGTGGCTCTCAGACAAAACAACAGCATTGCTTGTTCAGATGAGGATGAGCAGGCATCAGTATAGATGCAATCCTGTGATCTGTTCAACTAGGAGGAATTTCAGATGCTTGTTGACTGGTTTTTCTTAACACATTTCTTCTCCTAACAGCCAAAGATGTTAAAGGCTAGTCATGGAAGAGCTGAATCAATAAATAAAAAAACACTCCCTTCCAAGAAACACAGAGCATGATCACTGTGCTTCTAATGACCACCAAGCTGTGCTTCATTTCTCGTCAGTCTCATCAGCCTTTCCCATGTCAAAGATGTTTTGTTTTTCTTTCTTCTTTATCATTGTTGTTACCCCTCCCTTTCTCCTCTCACTTATGCAAGGTATAGAGACGAAGTTTAATTTGTAAAGTCAAAACAGATGAAATGTTCTTTTTTTGAAAATAAGTCATTGTTCCTCTAGAAAAGGTTTATTCCTTCTGGTTTTCAAAAACATGCAAAAACAAAGATTCTTGTTAAAAGAGAAACAGGATAGTTGCTTGCTGTTTTATGCTTCTGCCTTTCTACTAATTCTTTCTCGCTCTTGTTATGTGTATTTCAGAGGGCATGCATAGACTTTGCCATCAGCGCCAAGCCCCTGACCCGTTACATGCCCCAGAACAGACACACTTTTCAGTACCGACTGTGGCATTTTGTGGTGTCACCCTCTTTTGAGTACACCGTCCTGGCCATGATCGCTCTCAACACCATTGTACTGATGATGAAGGTGAGGAAAAGTAATAGAAAAGAGAGAAAGAAATCACAGACAAAACCATTTTCTGCATCTCTCTTCTCCCTCTGCTCTCACTCCGAAAAATGATGTCACTTTCTGCCTTTCGTTGTTTGCTAACAGGAAAAACGCACCTTGTGTTGCTTCTCGGCACGTCTTCTGTTACAGACTTGTGACAGTTAACACTTTGGTTTCAAAATAAACCAAGATGTGTCACTCCTAACTAGCAGCATGAAAGCGATATGTGCTTTTTGGTACCACGTCAACACAATGTGATGTTTGTATGTGGATGAGGTTACGTTTTAATTTTTTTCCATCCCTCATTCATTGCTCTCACTGCTATTTATTTCCTGAATTGGCCTTTTCTTGGACTGTGCAGGTCATTCAGAGTCAGACAGACTGACGCGGGTGACTCAGCCTGTATTAAATATTGATTTATAATATTCAGGGGATGCTATTTAGCATGACCCCATTAACTGTGGCTGCTGCCCCTAGGGGAATGACTCCCTTTATAGTGCGACAGATGAGAGGTGTGCACAGACTGAGGTACTATTTATGGATATGGAAGAATCTTCCATCAACCGGTAGTTCTGCAGAATGAACTGACGTTCACACCAACATCAAACTGGTTTCATGGGGCTGAGGTGCAAGTGGACTGGTTAGGGAATATTCCACTTTCTTATCCTTTTCAAACCACAGATTTAGTTTAACCTCTGCTGCCCTTCTGTTTTCAGTATTACTCTGCCCCGCCGACGTACGAGGCTGTACTGAAACACCTGAACACAGCCTTCACTGTTCTCTTCTCTGTAGAGTGTGTCCTCAAGATCATGGCGTTTGGCTTTCTGGTGAGAGAAAAGAGTAACACACAGGCTGCATGTGCATTCAAGAGCCTCTTAAGAAGTGACATTTAAGAGTCTTTCCTGTTTTTTTTACAGAACTATTTTCGAGACACATGGAACATTTTTGACTTCATCACTGTCTTGGGCAGCATCACTGAAATTGTGGTAGACTTGCAGGTAATTGGAAGTGTCAAGTGTAGTTTCTCACACTGAGTGTAGGGGGAAAAAGCTGATTCGTAATCAGTCCCCTTCTCTGCATGCTTTTTCCCTCCTCACTTTTATGTATTTATGTAGACATTAATACTGTATCACTGTCATTCTGCCAGTTTCTTGACACAATCAACATGAGCTTCTTGAAGCTGTTCCGAGCTGCTCGTCTGATCAAACTGCTGAGACAAGGCTACACCATCCGGATACTTCTGTGGACCTTTGTCCAGTCCTTCAAGGCTTTGCCCTACGTCTGCCTGCTCATCGCCATGCTCTTCTTCATCTATGCCATCATCGGCATGCAGGTCAGAAGCAGGAAAAGGAGATACTTGATCAGTCTCTGTCTCTCTCTAGCAATAATGTTTAACATGCTGTGGTTCCCAGTTTTATCCAGTGTCTCTCAGCACCGTATGTGTTTCAGGGTGAAAGGTATTTACAAATTTTGCATGTTTTCTTTTTGCATATGTGTGTGTGTGTGTGTGTGTGTGTGTGTGTGTGAATCAGGTGTTCGGGAACATAAAGCTGAATGAGGACACTCATATTAACCAGCACAACAACTTCAAGACCTTCTCTGGTGCTTTGATGTTGCTATTCAGGTAGGACACCTTGGTATTGGCAGACTTTATCAGGGTAGACACAACCTTGGGAGCTATTCCAAGATCAAAACACTTTTTCGCTTGATGCTGTATTTTATCCAACAGCTTTGATTCGGTACTGCTACTGTTTATTACATTTTACATTGACTAAATAACATTTATTTAAGGTCGTTTTAATGTTGTTACTAGGTTTCAGTGATAACATTTTTGTAATCAAGGGGCTAGTCAGAGTCGAGGGCTGAAAGATGCTGCAGTGAAATGACTGTCTGGGCCAAAGTGTTGTGTTGATAATATGTTTATTTCTCTACATCAAAGGGAAAGTTTGTTTGCATATGGCATAAAGAAACAATCCACACATTAAAACGATATAAAAATTTTGGCTCTGGCTATCTAAAATTTGTGAAACTACACATGGCAGTATAACCTGTGACACTTGCAGTAAAACTAAGCTAAAAGCAACTGTATAAAACATTAACACTGACATTATGAGAAATATAAAAATTCATTACTGTTGCATACAGTATGTGCTCTATGTAAGTGTGCATTTGACTACACAACCATATCTTGGGTTCAGAGCATCTAAGCGCTGTCTCTGAGTGGGTGGTGTGAGTGCTTGAAGCTTTGATTGCACCTTCCAAATGGCAGACGTAACTGTGAATAAACTGTGAACTGGACGGCTCGAGTCGTAACCAACTCCTCCTCCTCCTGTTGTTTAATGTGTGTGTGTCCAGGAGTGCTACGGGGGAATCGTGGCAAGAGATCATGTTGTCATGTCTGGGGGGTCGTCATTGTGAGACAGACCCTTCTCAGACATCTGACCAGGAGGGGGGCTGTGGCTCTGACTTTGCCTATTTCTACTTTGTCTCCTTCATCTTCTTCAGCTCCTTCCTGGTAAATCAAACAGACTGCAATGTGCCATAGAGCCATATTAAAGTTTTAATCTGGTTTTTAAAAGTCTGTGAAGAGGTTAAACTATCCTGTATTTTCTGAATTCATTGACTCATGTTAGAGTTTTGTTTTAACCACCTTCCACTATTATTTAAATAAATGCTGAGGCTTCTCCTTCCTCTATTTGTCTTCTGTCCAGATGCTGAACCTGTTTGTGGCTGTGATCATGGATAACTTTGAGTATCTGACAAGAGACTCGTCCATCCTTGGTCCCCATCACCTGGATGAGTTTGTCCGGATCTGGGGGGAGTATGACCGTGCCGCCTGGTCAGTGTTTCAGCCCCATCACTTCCCTTAAAAAGTGCAGCCTGTTCATGTATAAATGTCAGCTTTTTATTGACATTAAATGATAGCCTCAAGTTGGAATATAATACCTATATTTTTAAAATTTACATTAACACCAAAATGGTACAATACTCAAACATATACCCAGGGACTACAGGACTCTAGCTGGTTGTTTTGGTACTTCCTCCATTTCTTCACACAAGCATCATTCAAGGCACCAATATATGACAGTACCAATTCTGGTTTGTGCATTTTTTATAAATACACCACTAGAATACTCTACTATTTCAGTGGGGTTAGAAAAACAAATATAACTGTTTAAACAGGACCATTCAACAACCTTGGAAAGCTCTGAAACACAATGAGCTATATCTTCTCTCTGTCTCTTGATTCATGCTGAGTTGAGGTCTCACACACACACTGTGTCAGATATCAGATACAAAAAGACATTTTTGGGTGTTGTTTTAGTATTTGAACAAGTTGCACCACAGAAAATAACATCAGATACCATGCCAAACATTTCCACCAGCACACATTGTTTATGTCTTCTAATAAAGTAGTTTTCATGTGAAGATTTTATATATTTTTTTGCATGCACCACAGGTTACAAAAGGCTTAATGGTGTTATGTCCAAAAAAATCCTGCTGTTTTGATTTTTTTTCTTTACATGTGTAAGAGGCCTCCATTTAGGTCATTTCACCCTTTGTGTGGACCAGAGCACAGGTCTGTAATGACACACAACTAAAGACCTGTATGTTCTTTCCAGTGGTAGGATCCACTATAAGGAGATGTACAAAGTTGTACGCACTATCTCACCTCCCCTGGGCTTTGGAAAGAACTGCCGGAGGATCCTACCTCACTTCCTCCCATCCCTCCTTTCTTTCCCTTCGTCAGCTTTCACTGCCTGCTTGATCTTTAGGGGTGTGTTACTCAGGTCAAAGAATGATGACACTCCAGTCTCAAGGTACTAAGGCACAGGATGTCCCTCATTCTAGCAGATGTACGAGTAAACGGACATACTTCTAATCCAATCCAAGCACTTGAATGCATAAAAGCTTGCTGTTGATGCAGTCTGGGGGAAGCCTGTCTCTTTCTACCTCTTGGATCTGGTTTATACAACACTATACATTGTAAGTATTTGATATTAGTACCAGATCCAGTGAGGCTGTCATTCCTTTGCTCATCGTGTGTGAGGTTTTCTCTGCTTCTAGATTTCTATGCCCTGTCAGCAGCATAGAAAGAACACAATCTGTTCTGTTTCTCCTACTTGCTCTCTCCTCCTGTGTGATGCCTTAGAATAATCCTTTCTCTTGTATCTCCTCCATCCTTTTACTCTTCACCCTCTCCTGTGCTCTTCCTCCGCCCCTTGGGAACACGCTCCCCGACGCCTCCACGGTTATTCAATTTCTCCTCCACCTCCAACATCACCTGCTCTCCCTGCCCTCCCTCCTTCTTTTTTCCTCTTTCTCATCCCCATCTTCATGGCTACCTGGCGCCCCCAGTGGTCGTATCCATTATACTGACATGTATGAGATGTTGACCAACATGTCGCCACCTCTAGGCCTGGGCAAGAAATGCCCCTCCAAGGTGGCATATAAGGTAGACTAAACACTGGAGACTAACAGGCACTGCCTTCATCTTTGAATCAGCGAGGATCAGCACTGTTAAAGCTCATTTTGTTTGTCATATGTTGGAAAAGCAAGGCCTTTTTTCTGTTGGTGATATGATGCAGTATTGCTTGTTGAAACAGTTTTAAGTTCCAGTATTTTTCATTGGCAGATATATAGCGCTACAGCAATGATTTGCCTGTGTTGCTTTGCATCTTGGCAGAGAAAACTCTATCTGTTTGGTGGTATCTGACAGATGAGTCTTGGTAGAGTTTATTTTTCTAAACCACTTACAAGGCTTTATTGAGAAACATGTTAAACATCTACATGCTAAATATTGTCTGCTGTGAGATATCCTCATGTCTTTCATACTTACTGTTTCTCACATATTTCTGTCTGCATGTGCCTCCTGCCGCAGCCTCGTGTTACACCTGTGTTTTATGCACTGTATGTGTAAGTGTGTATGTAGTTTGCATGTATGTGTGTGTGTGAGAGAGAGAGAGAGATTTTGTAAGCATGCTCCATCACAGATAAGTGGCATTCTCTTGCTGCACAGTGTCTTTTGTGAGTTTTACAGCACATACTGTTTAAATCTTCCTTTACTGAAGGACAGGGGAGGACATGCACACTGTTTTTGTTTTATGTAATTTTTTTTGTGACCTTTGATTACTTTGTCCTTTCCGGTTACATTGTTTCTTATTTCTCAGCCGTGACACAATAATAAGTTGTGAAAACTGTTTCTTCTTCAAGTAATTATCTTATCTTAACAATAATAGTACAACAATAACTATGTGCCTGTCCTCTCTGTCCTTCTGAAATTAGTATAGTCAAATTAATTTAATTAAAACAAGTCATAAATGTATTAGCTATTTGCAAAGTAAGCTGATGATTTAAGGTTAAATACTCTTAACTTGTTTATGTTGTTCTTTTGTGCTGATGCCCAGAAAGGCCATGGTTGCTCATTAAAAATTATGATTTAAGAATTGTTATTATCTCCCTAACAGATTGATGGGTGACTTGGCAAATACTGACAATACTCGTGTTGGGTGTTTCCATATGAAACAAGCCTTATTTAAATGTTTTTAATAGTTAAGTAACACAGTGGCTTTCCTGCCTATGTCCAACCCTGGTAATCTCAAATCTGGTCTCTTCAGTTATAATTTAATTGTAATCTCAGGGTAGTGGTTCATCAGGATCAGAAAATATTATGAGTCACTACAGCAGTTCTGGGTTTCCTGCTATTGCAGTTTGTTTAGTTGTAGTGTTTGTTGTATTCCTGGGTTGTTACTGACTTTGATGCTTTCTCTGCTGCTGTCAGCGACTAGTCCTGATGAACATGCCTGTGGACGATGACATGTCTGTCCACTTCACCTCCACCCTCATGGCCCTTATCCGCACTGCCCTCGAGATCAAGCTCGCCAGAGGTGAGACCAAATGTCAAAACCTTATAAACACGCATTTACTGTGATGTTAAATTCAATAAATGAACTGAAATTACATCAAGAGTGTGTGTGTTTCCCTGTGTCTATTTTGTTTTTTGTGTTTGGCCACCTTGTGTATGTAACTGTTACACTCCAGGAGGGGAGGATAGAAATCAGATGGACCTAGACCTGCAGAAGGAGATTAGTGTCATCTGGCCTCATCTCTCTCAGAAGACACTCGACCTGCTGGTTCCCATTCATAAAGGTGACATCAACTTTACACCTGCACCTTAACAATATTTCATATATCAAAGAAAAGAAAGACATGTACGTTTTCGCCGTCATTGTAGTATAATGGTATTTCACTTGATGAAGAGTCATGCCCATGGGCTATTGGTTTCTGCTTCCTCTTCCTCAGCCAGTGACATGACGATAGGTAAGATCTATGCTGCCATGATGATCATGGACTACTACAAGCAGAGCAAGGCCAAGAAGCTCCGACAGCAACTAGAGGAACAGGTGCCTTGTATTTTCATTCTAGGTTCATTTCATTTAATTTTGTATTATGAACAATTTGGCATTAAATTTTATTCTCGCGAAGCACTTACCATCCATTGCTGCACAGGACTCGTCTTTTCATCTTGGCCATTATTTATTTATCTTTTTCAACTTTCACTTTGATTCCGGACCACTTGTGCTGTATATTGTATTACACACCTATGTACAGTAGGTCATATTTTCAAGATAATTTCAGTATTTGTGGCTTGTTTTAATTTATTGCTCCGACCTGTGTCTTTCTTTCTCCACAGAAGCATGCTCCTATGTTCCAGCGTATGGATGCCTCGTCACTGCCTCAAGAAATCCTATGCAATGCCAAATCCCTGTCATTCCTAAGGCACAGTGCTGGATCTGCTCTGTAAATATTCCACTTTTAGTCTCTTCATGCAGTTGTTTATGCTAGCTTGTGGATATTTATGGTGGCATTGTTTGAATCTGTTCACTTTTAACAACCTTGTATTGCCCTATCATCATCAACAGTAACTGACAGATTTATGATGGTATGATTTGCAGTCGCCCCGCGTGAGTCTTTGCATGTGTCCTTTCAGCACTAGAGGGGGTTTTGTGGCGCTCAGCCCCATCTCTCCCCAGGAGATGTTCATGCAGCCACTGTCCTGCTCCAGAGAGGAGAAGGAGGACGAGGATGATGACAGCTACCGTTCACCCTACCACCCCTATCTCCACCCACGTCATCACCACCACCATTTACACACACTGGTAAATGCACCAGTGGCAAATGGCACCTCTTTTTCTTGTATATCGTCATAGAAATGTTGCCTGAAACTGAATTTTTGCTCAGCATGAGCTTTCAGCAGCCAATCACTCACTGTAGTAGCATAATATTTCATTTTTAGAGACTGAATAAAATAGTAGATCATGTTCCATGCAACAGCTGTATTAAAATATACACTGTTTATTACTAAACTTATTTGCTTTCATTCAACCATTTTATCATAATGTTATAGATGTTCAAGTTGTCCTGTGTTTGATTTTTAAGACTTTTCTTCTGTGGTATTTGTGTAGGTTCCAGATGTAGTGGAGTATAACCAAATGATGCAGCAGGACAAGCAGGACCCATCAGTTATTAAGTCACCTCAGCGGACAGCATCAATCAGAGCGTCCTCCATGCCCAGACTGGCTGTTGATCCACAGGTAAAAACAAAAAGAGCAATTGCAGTACCTTTATTCAAACCTATATGCTTACCAGGTCTTGCATTAGAAAGTGCTTTAAAAATCAATAAACAATTAAAATTCATGGCTGCATATTTGACTGCATATTTGTTCGCATATGTGAAAACAGCCAATAGTCATTTTGCAGAGTTTGCTTGGCACATAATCAGATCAATATGTGTGGATTTACTGATGAGGTTTTATGCATGGTTACTTGTGATTCTGTATCTTGTTGTCCTGTGTGTATGTAGCCGGGGATGTCAGCAGACGGTCAGCTGATGAAGCGTTCTTTTTCTACCATTGGAGATCAGTGTGTGAACGGGCTCTGGCAGGAACAACACTCTCTGGAGAGAATCAGTCCAGACAGCACATACAAGCCTCAGCAGAAGAGCTACAGAGGTCACAAACAAGATAGCAGCTTTGAAACACCTGTGGATTCATGTTCATGTCAATGTTTTATCCTGAAATTTTAAAATTGAATTTTGAAGCTTGTTTTCAAGGCCTGTGAAATGAATGAAAAGAACATACTCTGCGTCTCTTTTGCAAACTTTATTTCTTCCAAACTGTATCAAAATCCAGTTACTTCTTAGCCAAAGTTGACTGATATGACACCGATTTAACACTTTTGGCTGCAATAACCCTGGTCCCTGAAGTAGCCATTTTGATTTTGCTTGGGCATTGGATACGAATATTGAAATAATTGTAAATCAAATGCAAATTATTTCAAGATGTCGAGTGTTTGTGTGTTTAAGTCCAGCACTGAGATGGACCAAAACCAGACTGATGTACTGGTATACTTTGTTAAATCTTTGCCTAATTAATACATTCCTGAATGTCAGTTTTAGTGTAATTCTTAAAAATTTCACTCAATTAAATGATTGTACCTGTAAATTGTATGATGAAAAAATGACTGACTCGGCCTTTAAACTGCATCATGTGGGAAGTAGAATTTTTTTATTACACAGTATCTTTAAAGAGGCGCATATTTTTCTTTACTTTGACCTAAAACATTTTATTTGCTTTACTTTTCCATAACACATCTTAGGGCCAAGAATCAACCACAGAGAAACATGTAGTCATGAGAGAGGGCGATCTAAGGAACGGCGCCACCTGCTGTCTCCTGACGTGTCCCGCTGCAACTCTGAGGAGCGCAGCCGAGACCCTTCATTTGAGAGGAGACAATCCCGCTCACCTAGTGAAGGACGCAGCCAAACCTCACAGAGACAGGTGGGAGTACAGGGGGCTAAAATTACACCTAAGCACCAGTTATAATCTGTGACTGTAAAAGAAAACCAGTAATATTCTGCCTCTCCTGCAGAAGGAGGGTGAACACATCAGGCAGCCCTGCTCACTCAGCCTCAGAGTCCAGTACCCCTCGTAATCGGCGCCAGCTACCCCAGACACCCTCTCGCCCGCGGCCTTATATTTCCTATTCCCCTCTGGTCTGCCGAGCTCAGACCTCTGCCACACCAGCAACCTCCTCTGAAGGACAGACCCAGCCTCAGGACGGCCCTGATGGTTCTACAGAATCCTCGTGGAAGGTTGACAAGGAATGTGAGCCCCTGACTGCAGGTCAAGGTTCATCTGACAGTCAGGCTTCACTACCAAGCCACTCATCTCCTCACCGCTACATCTCAGAGCCCTACCTCCCGTTTCATGAGGACCTCAGCGGAGGCGAGGCAGGTGGTAGGCAGGAGACCCTTACCTTTGAGACTGCCATGGCAACCAGCCTGGGGCGGGCCAATGCCATAAGCTCTGCCCCTCAGCTCAGACACTCCTGGCAAGTTCCTAACGGGCATTTCCGGAAGCACTTGGGCCAGGCGAGTCCGACCGGAGCCAGAGAGCTGCTGAGTGACACGGATGAGGATGACCGCTGCTAAAACCCAGAGAGAAAGAGGAAAGGGATGCACAGAGCAACTGGGCATCTCAGAGCAGTTCCACACGATACCACGAGGCTGTGGCCCTTCTGTGGCTCTGAGAGCTTGTATTCCCAGCACCAGGAGCATACTGTAACAGACAGGACTGAACACCACTGCTATTTACCTGGATACTTGGATGTTTACAACATGTCTGTTTGCAGCATGTTCTTGTGTGCATGTTAATTGTAGCTGGAGGGAGGCTATAATGTGTGAACATGGGTGAGTGTTTATGTGCGTGTGCTCTCAATAGAGAAAATTTGCCAAATAAAAAGAACAGCTGAGACTGACAGTACTATAAGTAGCCCACTGCAGACAAATCCACATGTTGCCAAGGCCTCCCATACAAGTTAGTGTTTTCGTTGTTATTTGAACAAAAACATGGTGAAACGTCAGTTCAAGGTGTCCAATCCCTTCACTGAATCTGAGAAAATGGTTTAAGTGCTATTTGCATAGGTGAATATAGAGGGAGCATGTAAAAGTTATTATGAATGTATCTGAGCTTTTGGGTCTTATGTTCAGGTCATTTGAGAAGGTTGCTGTTAGTCCTTACTGTGCATAGTTGTAAGAGCAGCATTGATACAAGGGTTGATTCAGGCAGATTTTACCAGTTTGTTATTGACAAGCAGCCATTTCTAAAAGTTTGTGTTTACAAAGAGTTTCCAAGTGCTCATGTACATTATAAAGGCACTAATCAATGAATAGCCAAAACAGGAAATGAAGTAGCAGAAGTGATTTAAACCTCTCTTGATGGTTGAGCTATTTTCTCTCCTTATGTGAACATAGTAAGAGTGTACATTCATCTGCAGCACAGTATTTTGGCTCTGTGGTGTGAAAAAGATGTAGAAGATCTTGAACATATTACAGCATAAGAGATGTTTTGTCTCAGGATACTGGACCATTGGTTTTGTGATAAATTATCTTCTAAATCTTTAACTTGTCCTTCAGATCTTGGACCTGATATGAATACTTGTAAAACTTAGAAGGACTAGATGAGTCTCTTGACCTTACACCATACTCAGCATGATATCCAGTGGCAAGACTGTCACAAGGCCTGGACCAATTGTGATTTCAAACAGGGCCTGTGGTCCACATCTATTCAATGGACTATAATGGCTTTGGCCTGAGGTATAACCATCAGACAGCCCGGGCAAAGCCAAATGTAAGTTCATTTTCCATGTTTTCATGCTGGATAACCACTGCCGATGTCACATTCCAGATGTGACTAAAGCCATTTTTTTTCCTGTACATATAGTCAAGGATGCATCTTCTTCAGGATGTGCTGCCTTCTTTCACGTGGTGATGAAAATGGTGAGAAATTAAATGTCGTTTACATATAAAGATGCAAATAATTTCAACAACATGGATACTTTTATAGAAGACGAATCAATGGCACATTATGGGTTGTCTCTGTGTTAACTACCACACTGTTTCTGTCACACTTAAGTCTATGCTTTGGACAGTAGACACGTGCATTATATATATATGTTTTGTTTGTTTTTTTGTTTTTTTTTTGCTTTTTGTGCTACAGAGATATAGGAGAATAGTAATGAGAAGCATCTTAGAGCTGCCTGGTTTTTCTTACTTTAAGGAGATTTTACGAAAGGTGCCAACATTATAAAACATCAGGCAGAGAGATGTTTATGCTTCTCCACTCCCAGAATTCACTATTGGTATATTTTAACATTCCAACACTTTCAAACATTTGTTGTTGCCCCCTAAATAAGATGTATATTTATATTATGTGCTGCTATGTTTCATAATGTGTTGTTTAACATGTTTCTGAAATGTGAACACAGGATATATCTGGACTGAGAATTCACAGGTCAGAAGAGATCCCACCAACCTGCTGGAGCCACAGACAGAAAGTCCTGACTGATGAGATCTATTTTAGCAAAGAAACCTCATCTGAAGTGTGTTCACTAGAAGGCTCAGTTTGTACTGCATACAGGTTAGGTTAAGGTTTTAGCCTGTAGGTTATAGGACCGTGCTTAACGTGTACAGTGCAGCCTAGGACCTAAACTTGATGTCTGTCTGTGCCAAACAGCCTAATCTGTGCCTGGGAACATAAAGAGTTCCCTATCAAGCCTGGATTTCCTAGATAGAGACGCTTTCTGGTAAATATGTAGTATAAACTGTACAAAATAAATCCATGTTTAATTTAATGCACTGTTTATACTTCATTTTAATCATCATGCCTGTTTATGACTTTGACAAAAGAAGTGTTTACATATCTGTTTAACAGACCATTAAAGAAAGATCACTTGTCTTTCCTGTACTGGGTGACATTACTACATTTGAATACTTTTTATGTACATTTATCATGTTACGAGTGTTCAGTATTGTGCTCCACCTTTTTAATTTTATATCAACTTATCTACTTACTGTCTGGTTTCAATAAAGGTTGTAAATCCTCCCAGAATACTTACAAAGCATCAAAAGAGGAAACAAATGAACAGCTATCAAGTGAGGATTGCTTAACTGGAATGATCTACATGGGTAACCTAGACCGGACCAGGTAGGAAGGTTTAAATGCATGACATTTTGTGATGATGTGAAATCATCTCTG